GGCTCAAGGTCCCAGGCTGATGGGACAACACCCTAATATGATTCTGCCAACTCTATTGTTTGTTGTTAGGGATTTAAAAAAGAGAGAGAGAAAGAAGATCTGTAAAGTAGCATGGGTTGTCCTTCAGTTTGTTAGTCTGGATACAATATAAGTCACATCCATTCACAGGGTACTGGCCACAATCAGCTAGATAAACCTGCCTGACAGAAGTGTAGTTTCCTAAGCATTCTGGAAACACTAAATAAACTATTTCATGCTTGCATAATCTCTACCTCAACTTCACAATAAACCCATTTGTCAAACTTGTATATTTATCACTATATCATTAATTCAAAACATTAAATGTATACCTACATATAACCTTGTTGAAAAGAAACATTTTGACATATATTTGGATAACATAAAAGAACCAAATGTAATGTCTGAATATCTCTTTTAAAATCTCATTCTTTTCAAAAAATCAAGTCGACAAGAGAGTCTGCTTCTCACTTCAGGGAAGACAGTAGCAAGGTGGCAGAGAAATAAAACAGACCCTAGAATCAAGTCCTTCAGTCTATAGACGTATTCTGAGCCTCACGTTTTGCATAGTCATGCCCCTCTTGCAAAATTCTCCTTTGATGACAGATTTCTCCAACATTACTCCCCTTCTTTCTGTAAACTTACCCCACACCCTAGGGCCCACATCACCGCAGCCCATGTCCCCACACATCTAGTCGTAAAGATGACAAGATAAATAAACCTTGTCACTCAGTGTATCATAAACCTGCTGTAAATTCATCTATCATCTTTGCTGCATCTCTACTGCCACCTTCATTTAATGTGACAGTGTCTGATCCTCTTACACCTCTAGACTTACTGCTTTTCAATTTATTCTGATGTATATACTTGGTCATATTTTCAAAATAATTTGTTCTTCACAATTTTCAAGGACAAAATCACTTCCCTAAATCCTTCTGATCGTGAAGCCTGCCTACTTTTCCAACCCGTTCTCGTACTCAGCATTTGCTCTTCTTCCCCAGAACCACCTTTCATTTCCAGCCATTTAAATCTCTTGCCAGAAATGTCAATCTGCACACAGTTCATACTTCCTGCATAGCTGCTTTTCTGCAGGGTTGAGATGCATTGATTAGCAAAGTGGGTACAAGGTCAAGTGCTTAACAGAACTGCTTTGTATCTGGCATTGGGACATGGAGAGTAAAGCCATTTCCTGAGACACTAGCATCCCATTTGGGCACACATTGGAGTTTCAGCTACTCCACTTCCTGCATAGTTTCCTGCTAATGCACCTGGGAAAGCATCAAAAAGTGCTTTCCTGCACTCACATGAGACCCCCCAAAGAAGCTCCTGGTTCCTGGTTTTAGTCTGGTCCAGTCCCAGCCATTGCAACCATTTGGGGAGTGAAATCAGCTGCTGGAAATTGTTTCTCCTTCTTACTGTAACTCTGCCTTTGAAATAAATTTTAAAATATTTTAAAATGAAAGAACCACCTCTCTGTAGAAGTTCTGTTTCAAGACAAAGGGCTCTAGAAGGGCAGTTCTTACTATAAGACACCACCTTTCTCATCTACCCTTTCAAAGGCAGTTCAATCACTTCTCGGCCTTTTGGCTAAGATCAAATGTAGCATCAAAGGCAGTTCATCTCTCCACCTTCCCCCATCTTTTTTTGTTTTCATATTTCTGTCATTCCATGGTTTCCCTCACAACTCTTCCAACTTTTTTCTCCTATACTAGGTTCTAAACCCCTTGAATGTCATACTCAGTGATACCATAAAAGCCTGATGTGTAGAAGGCTCTCGGAACATGCTTGTGAGAGTAGGAAATTAGCTTAGCCATGAGGACACCCATGTCCCACAATGGGACACTCTGGTTCAATCCCAGGCTCCAGTTCCTGACTCCAATTCTCTGCTACTGCACACCCAAGGCGGCAGCAGGTGAGGCTCAGGTAACTGCCCCTTCCTCCATGTGGCAGACCTGGTCTGTTTCTGGTTTCCAGGTCCAGCTCTGCCCCAACCTTCCATGGTGGGTATTTGGGAAGTGAACCAGCAGATAGGAACACTCCCTTGGTTTCTCTCCCAGATAAAATAAGAAAATCATGTTTTAAAAAAAATTGTGAATAAATGAATTGTAAGGATAACAAATATTACATCTAATTATAATCTCATAATTCTCAATTAGAAACCATTCTACAGATGATACTGTATTTCTCATTTTGTTCCAGTGGTTTGGATCATAAACAGGAAAAGCGCAAGGTTATCTTGTTCTCAAAGAACTCAGGTTTGGATATGTGTGTCCAGTTTTGGATATGGGTATACATGTATCCAGTAGACAACACAAAAGTTAATGCTCCCATTTTTTATATCAAATTATTGTCCATAATTTTAACTGCGCTAAGTTCCCTACAGGATCAAAACAATATATACAATACGCATTTAGTAAGCAATTAACATTGCCAGTTAAGACGCCTTCTTTCCATGTAGGGTTTAATACCTGGCTCTGGCTCATGACTTCAGCTTCTTGTCAGTGCAGAAGCCAAACAGCAATATAACAGCTCAAGCAATTGGGTTCATGGAAGATGCTTGGCTTCAGCCTGGCCCATCCCTGGCCTCTGCAGGCACGTTTGAAGTGAACAGGTAGTTGAGAAGGCTCTCACTCCCTCTTTCAAAGTAAAAATCAAATACACAGATTGTACCTCTTTTTAAAAAATGTTTTATTGGAAAGTCAGATTTTACAGAGAGAAAGATCTTCCATCTGCTGTTTCCCTCCCTAAGTGGCTACAATGGCTGGAACTGAGCCAATCTGAAGCCAGGAGCCAGAAGCTTCTTCTGGATCTGCCACATGCGTGCAGGGTCCCAAGGCTTTGAGCCAACCTCAACAGCTTTCCCAAGCCTCAAGCAGGGAGCAGGATGGGAAGTGGAGCAGCCAGGATATGAACCAGCATCGATATGGCATCCCAGCACATTCAAGGTGAGAATTTAGCCAGTAGGCTATCACACTGGGCCCATATTGTACCTTTTAATGCACTTCATGATTTGTTTCAGGAACCCAGGCAAAAATACATATAAGAAATTACTGGATGTGATGTCAGACATAAAATGAAAGACTACCAAGATCAGATCTGCAATATTTCCTGAATTGAATTTCTTCATGAATAACATGATGATCACGAGGATCAAAATGCAAACAACAAAACTTATTTGAGAAAGGGGAGAGAAAATTTGAGATCCTGTCTGCTGATTCATTCTCTAAAGGCCAGCAAAAGATAACTGGAGCCACTCCCAAGCCAAGAGCCAGGAATCCCATTCAAGTCTCAGACATGATCTGCAGGGACCCACGCACTGAGCTCATCTTCGGCTCCTTTCACAAGCACAGAAATAGGGAACTAAACGGGAGGTACAGCCACCAGGACTCAACACGGCAGTGCCAGTATGCTATGTCCACACCACAAGTAGAGGCTTAACAGGCAGTGTCACATCATAGTCCCCAGGATCAAAATACAAATATGTTTTCTGTAAGCTGTATAACAGAATCAACACAACAAAGTGGTGCTATTGCAACCTTCCCAAGCATGACCGCGTGATACACTGGGTGGAGTCCCGAGTACTCCACTTCCCATTCAGCTCTCTCCTAACACACCTGGGAAAGCAGATGGTGGACCCAGTTCTTGGTACCCTGCACATGCTGGAGACCTAGAAGCAGCTCCTGAATGATGGCTTTGCACAGGCCCAAATCCAGCTGTTGCAACCATGTGAGGAATGACTCAGCAGATGTAAGACCCCTCTCTATATACCTTCCTCTCTTTTTCTCTGTAACTCTGAATTTCAAGTAAATAAATGTTTGAATCAATTTAGAAAATATAAACTGGTTTATTGATAAAAACATACTAAAGAACTTGATGTTGGCTTTTGTTATCCCGACTTACTTATGGCTATAATATTTTAAGCAAAAAGTAAATCCTTAATGAGTGACTTGGAATTAAGTAGCAATTCTTGCCTAAGAATGCCTTTACTTATAACTGGCATATAAGCTAGTAAGTGTGACAATATTTCAATAAACTACTATGCCTATTATAGCAGACACTAGAATTAGAATTTCAGTTAATTTTCATGAGTCATAAAACATTTTCCCAGTCATTTTAAAATGCAAGACTCATTTAGCTCACAGTTCATGTTAAAAAATAAAATAGATGGATTTGATCAACAAGCTTTAGGAGAACAGGAAAATTTCCTACGTAGACTTTAAAGATAATGATCACTAGAATAAGAATTGATCCTGCTTAGCAGATTCATGACACATTCTGGCTCCAGCTGCCCCTGTTTCTTCTGTCAAATGGTGCCTAAATCCAGTCTTCCTTAGAAGTTATACAATCTTAACTCACACATAAGCACTAATCCTCATGAGGATTTGGGATTAGGCAATGCTCACTTGATATTAAAGAAAACTGTAATTTGCTCAAAAGGTTTTTTCAATAAAAAATATTTCCTTTATCTTGCCTAATGAAAGGCTCGGAACAAACTCATTCTTACACACTACATAGTCTGGGCTTAAAGTGAGAGGCTAAGAGCAATATTTATAAAAATCACGATATTTCTAAAAGAATATTGTAATATATTAGAAGGAAAATTAACAATGGGGAATCTTAAACTATAGTTAACTGGTGAAGAGAAAGAGAACGCCAAAAAGATACATTAATTGCATGACAAATGTTAGGTGAATATCAACTGATTTCTAAGATATCAAATCTTTCTACAATTTGGGGTTCTTTTTCCATGGACTTACTGGGATATTCTCTTGAATAAACACTGAGTAAACATGCCTGTTCCCAACATATAACTAGAAAATACAGCTCCCATTTATCTTGTTGGTTAGCAGAAGGACCACTGCAACTTTACTCACTCTAGGAAGAGCTTGTGACAAAGTTGTTCAAGTTTTATATAAAACCAATTTCTCAAAAAACAAACTCACTCCAACGATTATCCTGTTGAGATCAAGGACTGTCCTAACACACTGTGCCACCTTTAATGGAACATAAATCATCAAACCTTAGATATCAGAGACTTGTTAGGCTGGAGCAAGCAGGTCTGGGATGGGGGAAGCATACAGTTGTGTAACACATCAGAGTTCAGTAGCTGTTTGGGCAGGAAAATAAAGGAGGTGACAGAGGACAGACGCCACGCAATGCAAGTCAGAAAATTTTTAAATTAACCAGAACCACACATTATCAAACACTGATTGACAATGATTTATTTAAGGTCCATTCGGTATGCTCTTAATTTGAAATAGTTCATATCACCTCCAGAAACTATGCAAATCAGTAAGAGTCCAAGTTCATTTCTTTCACTTGCACACCAAGTATTCTGTGCTTTGTATGAAGCATGAGCAAATAGCTTTCTGCTCTCCAGTTTCTCATTCTCTCCACCATCTGCTCTTCTCAACTGCCAACCATGCACTGACTTCCTCCATCCTAAACAGCCCTTCTTCCAAGTTTCTTTCTCTTTGACACTCTCCCACCCTCCCCAGATCTGCTTCAAAGACTTTCCCTTTCTGGATGCTTGCTACAACAAGTGAATGCAACCACTGGTCTACCTGGACAAGGCACTGAACAGGATCACCTGTCATTGCAACAGTCTCTTGTGGGTGCTCCTGCAGAACACATGGTAGCCAGGCACATACAGACCTACTCAACCACCCTGCTTTAGAAAGACCCAAGCCATGTATTTTACCAATCCTTTTTGTCACTTGACATGCGCAATTGCTCTTCATCTCCTTCAATTCTAGAGTACGTTTATGGTAACCTAGAGCTGGAGAACAGTCCCTTAAATGAATTTGGAATTGCTAGTTGTATGAGGGTGTATTGGTTATTGTGACAGTTGACCAATTCTAGTTCACCTTATTTTATTGAAGAGTCTCTTTCAACTAAAACAATCACCGTGTTTCCTTTGTTAAAATGTAAAGTAACTAACTGGCTTTCCTGACAACTGCCAACTATGCAGTTCAAAAGCAGGAAATCCCTTTTGATAAAAGGTAAAAGCTTAAGAAGGCATTTCACATTAAAAAAAAAAATCCTTCATGGGAATATGACCTACGTAAATAATCAATTATATGGACAAAGTTTTATGTACATAAACTTTTTGGAGCTTAAGAGTATTAAAAATTAGAAATAACCTAAATAGTCAATAATAAATGGGAATGGTTAAATAAATTGCATTCATTAAACGGAATATCATGCAGCCCTTAAAACTATGTTTTCAGAAAAATTTTAGTGCCATGAGAAAAATGTGGCAATTCTACAGTGAAAAAAAAAATAAAACTAGTTTAAAAACCATTTATGGTATGATCCCACTTACACCAAAAATGTATATGATATTCACACAGACAGAGAAAATGTTAAAGGGGGTTACTATTTGGTTGTGATATTATTTGGTAAGCAATTTTATGCATTTGTAATATTCATGTTTTTTGCCAAGTATCATTTTGTAACTCAGAAACACTATGCTAATAACTTCTTTTGATGTCCTGTCATTTTCTGGGCTATTAAGCTCCAGAAGTGTTTTAATTAGCATGTATTTGTGTATTTTAAATAGATGGGAACAATATTACTATGCTCCAGCTTCTGCTACATTTTCAGGCATACAAATTCTTTCGGTAACAAATTACATCCCCTGCTTATTTTATACTTGTTACAACACTTTACTAAAAGGTAACATTGTAATTAGAGCATTATTTGTTTTATAACCTATACAAACACTGCCTTTGACATCTAGGTTCTTCTATTTCTTAGAAGATTTAAAAATCAGTATTCCATTATCTTTTTGAGTAAAGCATACTGTATATATACACATTACATGTATGCTTTCTAAAAAACATAATTGTAACTTACAATTTTCCTACATAAGGAAAAAATGAAATTATGGTAGCTTAACAACAGTCTATCGTCTATAGCATCACAAACATGCTGATAGGCATAAACATGTTTATTAAGTGAAATGTATCCTCAAAAAAATAAAAAAGGAAGTTTGTATGTAATTTGAATTTGTGGATTTAATCTGTCAGAATTTCTTCCAACTTGCACCAAAAACACACAAAATCATTTAAAGTGTAGTTGATGTCTAGATAGAAACTCCAGAATCTACTCTTGAATCCATCGCACCAACTCCACTTTCTATTTTTAGAAGGAATGGGCACTGGGACAAAGGTTGTCACAGAAGCTAGTTTTCAAACATCAAGTCTTGTGAGGACTAGGGACAAATACTGCCATTGGTTAGTGTTATAAGTTCACTGAGTTTCTTCCACTCTTCTCCTCTCCCACCTCGCCTGGAGTGGGAGAAGCTGTTTTTCCCTCCTTTAAGGACGGCTGGCTTTCCACCTCAGTCCGCTTCCTAAACCACAGAGTGGTCGTCGCTGTGGACCCCGGCCAGGATGGTATGGTTGAGGGAGGAGGCCGAGCGGTCTGAGCCTTCCGCTGGGCCGCTGCTGTTCTCGCTGCGCTGGCAACAGAGGATCTGTCTGAAGGTGGCGCTCATCTCTTTGTCGCGGTAGGAGTAGATGATGGGGTTCATAGCAGAGTTGAACTCAGCAAGGAGAAGAAAAAATTTCTCATAGGCCAGAACATCACACTGGGGGCAGCACACGTCGAGCAGTAGCAAGACCAATCCGGGGGTCCAGCAGATGATAAAGGCTCCTACATAGGATAGAGGAGGAGGATTCAAAAGAGAGAACGGAAAGCACGTTACAAAAGTGGCCACCATCACGTAAAACGATTCCATTCTAATACAACAGTGAGACCCGAGGCACAAACCATCACTGCAAATGGAATATTCATTTTCTGAAAGAAGAAAAACCCTCCAGTTATAAAATAATAAGAGCTCATTTATTCAGTTCCTACTAAAATGACTCAGGACACACTAAGGATGATTCTTTTCAGCAAAACACAGAAAGCTTGATAAGCAATTAAGATGTGAAAACTCCATTCAGGGACACATTTCCCCTCTTAAAAGACATGACTTTTAACACCAAGTGGCTGTTGTCAGGCAGGATAAGCACTAATGATAACCACGCTTTAACGTTTCATTTGGGTTCCAGCTCTGGATTCAGGTGGCTTGGACTTCAATCCTTGCTATGCCTTTTATGAATCAAATGAACTTGGTCAAATGATTTTCCTACTTCAGCTTGCACATCAGAAAAGCTGAGATGATCATACATACTTTCTGACGTTTGTTTAGAAGACTTAAAAAAAATTACTTAATGTGTTTTAACAGTATCAATACTTGTATTGTCATTAAAACCTCAGTAGCATGAACCAGGTGGGTATTTTGCTCTTATTTGACAATTTCTTAAATGATGTTGGTCCATATGCTTTATAAATAACAGCTCAATCCTCCCGATAGCTACATGACACATAAGGAGCCGTCCCATTGTACCGATGAAGAAACAGACCCAGAATGCTTCGATGACTTGCTCAAGGCCATGGCCTCTTATCAACCAGGGCCCAATCCTCTATGAAGTTCTGCTCATAGCATCTAGCTTCACAGTCCATAGTCCAGAAACCCTACACTAAATTGCCACTAGTAGAAAATATATTAAACCAAATTTTATATTTAGATCAATTTTTTTCCTTCATCAACTATTCTGAACTATTCTAATTTTGCTACAATTTTAGGAATAGAAATATAGATTATATTCTTCATTTTTTTCTTATTTGATTCTTGCAATCCTTCATCAGTTTTCTCTATAAAAAGAACAGGACTGGCCACCAGGGCAAGGGCCAGGGAGTTTCACCATGTCCCTTTCTGCCTCACCTAAGGATCCTCAGGCTTGACGAGAAGGGGTCTAGTGTTACTCCCCGAAGTTTATTTAAACTGTTAGATTCAAATGTATTGGCCTTGTGAATGGAGATGTGGATTGGGACAGGGGATTTGGATGAGCCTCAAGCAATGAACTCCACAAAATACAAACAAACGAGACTGAGTATCCAAACAGCCCAGTTTTCAATGTGAGCTTTCTTTTTTGAAACTTTTCAGCAGGGAAATGAAAATAAAGCAAAGAGAAAAGTACCCCCATAAAACTCTTTGTTCTACAACAGAAATGCGTATTGGTTTTAAACCGCTGTTCACTTTGAAGACTGTCCAAGGTGCTTCATTTTCTAATAAATACAATACCATAGATTTTTCACAGAGAGAAAAAAATATTTCAAGTATCAGGAGATAATAGTCCGGCAGCTTTCTGAAATTCAATAAAAATGTTAATAAAGCATTTAGACCAAGTCCTTGAATTTCTCTGCTTGAAAACTCATTCAGAAAGCTAAACATAAAGTAAAATCAAAGGAATGTCTCTTGGGTTTCAGAAATAATGCATTATTCATCGAGAAGCCAGGAAGGGAATTATTCTCAGGGTAGAAAATGCTTGGATGGAAAATGCATGGTCCCATTATTTCATTTTACTTGGAAACTAAAACACACAGGCCCTTCATGAATGGAAGACCATTCTTTCAAGTTGCTTTTCCTCTTTTATCAAAGCTCTAATTGAGTTGAAACTCAGGGCTTGATTAGATACCCACAGTAAGCATCTCAACAGATGTATCCTAAATAAAACCATCTTTTTCTAGAATGAATACTCTTATCCTCACATACTTGCTCAAGCTGCTTGACTTTGTGCAAAAGGGAGAGAATTCAAAGTGACTTGTTTATGATTTCTTCCAATATTAAAATTCAAAAAGGGGTTGAGCTTTCCAGTGAGTTATGAGCTTACAAACTACCCTATGGGCCTCACATTCAGACCAGGAAAGGCCAGGAGGCTTCTTAGATTGCAGACAGGAAGTGGTAAACACCACAAACCTAACACAGTAACAAGCACATGGGGAAGCTTCATTGAGGAACTCAAGGTCCTCTCCCTTCTCCGTTACAGAAAGCTCTGTGTTTAGTAGCACATTTGGGCCCAACCGCACAGCCCTTAAACACCGTGTCCGGATCTACAGGCTTGATGGAATAATTTCAGTGACTCACTTTATGGGTCTCAGGAATGAATACTTCAACCAATCATATGGAACTTCCCCCTCCTTTCTCTATCAGACAGGCATCGATGAAACTGACTGCATCGTGAGGATACTCTACATAAAGAATACTGGAACCAAGAAAATTCCATTGCAATTATGTTCCCAAGTAGAAAAATAAATATTCTGAAAGCAAGTTTCCTCAAATGATCAAATCCCCTGTGAGCTTCTAAACTCAAAAGAAACCTGAGATAATTCAGTGGTGTTGTGAGACTAAAAAAGTATAGTATGGACCTTATCAAGACAGAATCTGCTGAGAGCTGATGTACATGTGTGTCTTTGATCATTTTCTCTTACACTCTGTCACTCATTAGGGTGGAAAGCCAAACCTCCATTTCAGCATCTGAACAATGGGAAGGCTGTGGCTCCTTGCCTACCTCACAGGCCATGACAAGCATCATGCTGGGCCACAGCCTGTAAAAGCCCTTCCACAAGCCACTGCCTACTGCTAATGACAGCAGCACTGACTCACAAGGCTGGTGTATGGGATGAGCATTTGGTGCAGTACAATAGATGCCACTTAGGTCACCTGTAACAATACAAGGAAAAGAAACACTAGTAAATTATGGCTGTTATTTGTAAAGTTGCAAACATAAGTGGCAGAAGATTAAATCATCAAAGATCACGAAGACTGTGTGCAGTTATGCCATACCAAAAGATTCCAACATAGCATTGGTTCTTGATCCCAGCTATACAATAGACTCAGAAGTTATGAGAAGTCTCAGTTTTCAGCTGCAACTTCTAAGACATTAAAGAAAAACAGTATTTTTTTTAAGTTTTGTTTATTTCTATTCGAAAGGCAGATATACAAAGATCTTCCCCATATGGCTACAACAGCTGGAGCTAAGCCGATCCAAAGCCAGGAGCCAGGAGCTTCTTCTAAACCTCCCACACAGATGCAGGGTCCCAGGGATTCTGCCTATCCTCCTTTCCCAAGCCACTGAGTGGGAAGTGGAGCACACAGGACATGAACCACCACCCTCACGGGATCCCAGCCCATGCAAGGCAGGGATTTAGCCAGTAAGCTAACACATTCAGGCCCTTTATTTTCTATGATAAAGTTTTGTCATCGTAAGAGTTCTTCTCTCCTCCTTTCCTGCCTCCATCCCCACAATCACCTCACATTATTTTTACCTAAGATATCGCAAAAACACAATCACTCAGTTCAGCATTTCAAACTTAAATTTCTGAAATACAGAGTACCATGGCATAGTAAATACAGGGAAAGGTAGAACATACAGTGTTGCAAATGGTAAAATTTCATTCTTTTTAGTGGCTGAGTAGTATTCCATAGAGTAGATGCATTACCGTTCTTTACCACTCCTCTTTTGATGGGCTGGGTTGTAACCATGTCTTGCCACTTGTGGATTGTACTACTTGTAAGTATAGAGTTGCAGGTCACTTTCTGCCACTGCAGAGTTTGCTTCCTTTAGATATATTCCCAGAGGTGGAATAGATGGGTCATAAGGCAGATCAAGTTTTAGTTGTCTTAGCACTCTCCATACTGACTTCCCTAGTGGTTGCACCAACTTAAAATCCTACCAGCAGTGGAGTAGGACACTTTCCCCCCACACCCATGACAGCAGATATTGTCAGTAGATTCCCGAATGTAGGCCAATTACATAAAGTATAACCTCAGTGTGGTGTTTACTTGTATTTCCCTGACAACTAGGGAGCCTGATCATTTTTATATATCTATTAGCCATTTGAATGTGTTCTTTAAAAAAAAAAAACAAAACTTGCTAACTTCCATTGCCCATTTATTCTCAGGGCTGTTTATTTTGCTGTCATTGAGTTTCTGAATCCTTTGTAAATCATGAATATTAATCCCTTATTGGTTCTGTAGTGTGTAAATATTTTTTCCCATTCTGTTGGTGGCTTCTTCACTTTGTTGTTTATTTCTCTTGCTTTGCTAAATCTTTGTTGTAGTCCAATTTGTTTATTTTGATTGACTGCCTGTGCTTTTGGTGACCTTTCTAAAAAGTCTTTCCCAATTCTTTTATCTTGGAGAGCACTTCCTATGTTTTCCTATAATAGTTTGATGGTTTCTGGGTCCCTGATATATTTAGAGCTCATTTTTTTATACAAGGTGACAGGTGGGAGTCTTGCTTCTTAACGGTATCCAATTATCTCAAAAGCCTTTGTTGAAAAGACCAAATTTTTCCCTAGATTATTTTCAATTTTCTTCTCAAAGATCAGCTGGGGATACACGTATGGGCTCCCTTTTGGGGGTTTCTATGCTATTCCACTAATCTCTGTTTCTGCATCAGTACCAGGCTGTTTCAATAACTACGGCCTTTTAGTATGTCCTAAGGTCTGGGAACTGTGATTCCTCCAACTTTATTTTTATTCTTCACCATAGCTTTGCTTATTTGTGGTCTCTTATGTTTCGAGATGAATTTTTGCATCACTTTTTTCTATTTCTGAGAAGAATGTTGTTGGGATTTTTGTTTGGGATTGCACCGAATACGTACTGTTACATTTGGTGATAAGGACATTTTGATAATGTTGATTCTACCAACACATCTTTTGATGTCTTTCTGCTTTTAGTGTTCTGTAATTTTCATTACTGAGGTCTTCTACACTTGTTGGTTAGGTTTATTCCAAGGTTTTTTCTGCTCTTTTAAAGTGAA